TGGAGACCAGAGATTGTGAGTGGGGAGGTTCTGTCATGCTAGAGTAAGAAGTCCTGTCAGATAGCAACAGTTTGGAACTTTGACTAACAACATTCCTCATACCCTTGCTATGTTGGAGACTCTGGTGAGTGATTACATCTGGGATCATGATCAAGCCAGCTCAGTCAGTAACAGGGTCTCAGGCGAGCGAGTAAGGATTGAAAAAGAAAAACAGTTAGACAAAATTATAACATAACTCCAGCCCATACTGAGGCTGAAGCAGCTTTATTTGTCTCCAGGCTGCTTTTAGATCATTCTAGGTATATCCAAAACACACGGTCAGTTCTTAGATCAAAGACAAAGTAATCAAGCGAAGTAGTAAAAAAGGAGATCCCACAAGAAAGTAATCAAGTCAAGTAGTGAGCAAGGTAATGAGTAGTAAGCAAAAGGATCACACAAGGTAATAAGTAAACTGGTAAGCAAAGAGATCACACGAGGTAGTAATTCAGCAAAGTAGTAAACAAAGCCCCGTGGTCACGGTTTCTAATATTCTTATCTGAGCCTACTTCCTTGTCCAAGCCTAGTGACAAATGCAAATTTCCTAGAAGTGGCACCAAAAGCTCTCAACAGGGTCAGCTCACATCTTGGCACAAAATATTGATATCCCAGGAGGCAGATCATACTGCTAGACAGATGATTAGTTCTTTCTCCTGTCCCTCCAAGTCTCTTTCTTGCCCAGTCACACACTATACTATGTCCTAATACACCCTCTGGCTTCTACCCAGACCCCACTCTCATGGAGAGAGCCAGGTGTGCCAGGAAGAGTGTGACCAGGAAGAGCGCCATGAGCAGTGAGCCATAGTTACCCCACGTCTGCACATGAGGCCAACACAGGCTTCTACTTTCAGCCCTTCACATCTTCCCTTATATGTGCTGGCTGAACTCACAGAACGATACTCTCTCGCTTCACTATGCAGCTTTGATCTCTCCATATCTCTGGGAATCTGTGACCTCCATTTCTCAGGCAGGACTCAAATTATGAAAGCAAGATAGTTTCCTGACATTTTGCCTGTGTGTGTGGCAAAAACACCATACCTGCTATCTCCACCTCAGCCATTTTCTATTTCTCTACCACCTCCAGATTGGACTTATCATATAACAACATGGTCACCCTACAGGGTGGAGTTAGAATTAGGGGCTGACATCTCTCTCCTTACATGGAATCCTTGGACAGTCTAGTCATTCAGTGTTTCGGATGTGTCATAGGGATAGACTGAAATCTCACCAGAGAGATCCCATTGAGGTGTTTCACGCTCCTCTACAGAGCCTCCCCCAGATGCCTCAGACTCTCTCCTGGGTACTGTACCAAAGTGAAAAACATGTTTCCTGTCAAACAGAGTCTCACTCAGAACAGAGTAACAGGGCTTTTCTTCTTCTTCCCCAGGAGCAAGTAAAAGCTCTCATGGCCCATGGCTGTGGCATAGTCTTTCACCTTAGCATGTCTTTGAGAAACTAGGTAACATGATTCTCAAACTGTAAACTGCCATGTTGAAGTAATTATTTAAAATGGCTGCTAGTCAAGCCCACTATCTAAGCTGCAGTGGCTCTGCCTAGCTCAGCCACCATGTTCCAAGGCCAGAGGCCACATGAGCAATGTAGCTAGATATGACCAGCCAGAAACACCAGCCCTGCTACCCATGAGACACCAGCATGGGAGATGGCTCTGCCATCCCACCATCCACGCAGGCCCAGTAGGAAAATGAGGCTCTAATGTTTAAATATTAATCAAAGGCTTTGTATGTTTGGTAATGCTCAATAACAATATGCCCATGCAATTAGAGTTGTTTCCCAATTAGCTAACCTCCTCCTACATCTCTGACCTCTCTAGCTCCTCCTCTCCCTTTTCCTCTTCCTCTCCTTACTCCTCCCACCTTAGCTCCTCCTACATATCACCCTTCCTGTTAAAATAAAAAAAAAATTTCTCTCAAAATACAATTAGAGCACAACTACACCAATTTGTATCAGTAAGGTACAATTTAGACCTAATAGCCAGTCCATCAATTTTGTCAGCTAAACAAAAGACTAACTAAAAGACTTAGTTCTTAACCTGGCTTTTTTCCTGGCTTTAGAATGAATGTCAGCTGAAAAACATCCTCTCAAATCTGTCCCCTTAACATAAATAGCCTGGGCTGGCTATGAGACTGTAAGTCTTCAACCTTGTCAGAAATCCAGAATGACTGAATTAACTGAAATTATGGGAAGCACAAAGCATAGCTTCTAAAACTTAGCCAATTTATAGAGACCACTGAACACCTGGACAGTCCCTATACTACAAAACGTTGGAGCATCCAATCTTCAGCCTTCTGGCCCAGGATCATCTGACAGACCTAGTGACGCAGAATTATTAAGGGCTGATTACTCTGTCTTGGCAGATATAATCAGTCGACTATTCCGCAAGTGTGACCTTTTCTGGACAGTTATTTGTCTGTGGATGAAAAGAGGAAATTCTTGCCTAGTGGCTGTCTCACCACAACTGGAGTAACTCCAAAGATGCTCGATTTCTTTTTAGAATCCAAGACAGGGAAGCGGTCAGGAGAAGACAGGTCTCTAATCAAAATGAACATTAATACAGAAATGTTAGTAACATCACTTCTGTGGACTTCTGATGTGTTTGAAAACCAATTATCTATGTAAAGCAATCTGGACTGTTGTCCATTAAGTCCTCTCCGCTATTTCTAATTAAAATCTAGAAAACACCCTAACAATAAACTCAGAGCCATGCACTTGCTATAGGCCCTGAACTCAATTGTGCAGCTTAGATAGTGGGCTTGACTAGTGGCCATTTTAAATAATTACTTCAATAAACTGGCGCCCAACGTAGGGTTCCAGAACTGTGAATTTATAAATGAGGATTATTTGCTTTTAGGAAAGAATTTATAAACAGATTTGTCCGATTTGCGTGGGAAATTTTGCCTGTGGTCTGAAAATTAGATAGGAATAATTATCACTGAAACCAGGTAGAGAGTACAGTGTATAAATAAAGGCTGCTCTGAGCCAAGAGAGCCAAATAAATAAGCCTCCGTTGTGGAGCCATTACTGATTTAAGTATAAAGTTAAAATATAGGGATTATTTGCTTTTAGGAAGTATTTATAAATAGATTTGTCCAAATCACTTAGGAATTATTACCCATGGCTTGGAACTTAGATAGGGAAAATTGTCACTGGCTCTATAGTAAAGAGTACAGTGTACAAGTGGAAGCTGCTCTGGAGTACAGAGCCAAACAGATAGATGGTATAAATTTAAAAAAAAAACTGTTCTAGGCAGGGTGCAAACAGGAAGATAGTAAATCTACTGTATTCAGATGATATAAAGTTATATTGCCTCACAGGAGACTCGGGTTCTGTCTAACGTAGGCCCCACGGGAATTCTGGGTTCATTTCCTGCTTGGCAAAATAGGGACAACCTAAAGAATAGGCAAGACCTAAAGAATAGGCACACATAGTATTTAAGTTATTAAATTGATTTTATTTTCAAGATGGGTGTGATTTTCAGTTTTGTGGTTATATTTTTCTTCTGGGAAAGAGGTCAAGATAACGGTTTTTCTGGTTACAATTAGAGTTGTTTCTCAATTAGCTAACCTAAATATAAGTTGTTACCCGCGATTGCTCTCCTTGTCTGTGTGGCTCTTCATCCTCCTACATTTCTGCCCTCTCTAGTCTAAAGGCAAACAACTGACCTTTAGCTGGTATCAGGAATATCTTAATTCCATCTGTTATGTTTTGTAAAGCAAGGCATGGTGGGCACCCCCTCAAGGTACCACTCTAGTATAGATGAAGTTTATTTGGGGGGAAAGGGGTAAAGAGATTTGAGAAAGGAGAAGAGGCAGAGGGGAGAGAGAGAGAGAGAGAGAGAGAGAGAGAGAGAGAGAGAGAGAGAG